TAAAGAAAAATCAATCGTGTGTTTCATTCATAGACTAAAAATTTTGTTCGATTCATTGTAATTAATAGTCTAAGAAGGATCATTAGTAACTTTTTTAAGAGAAATAATCACGAGGAACACGAAATGTACATAATAATGAATACTTATTTTGATGTCATATTATTTTAGGATCCACTTATTGATTGTCATTTTAGCTATGTTCTCAAGATCTCTATACACCTCCACCCCCACCCCTACCCCACAACCTCCTCCACTATATATACACCACTTTGCAACCCTCACAAAACCAACAAAAGCCCAAGAACTTCAATACATATATAATATTTTAGAGCTCCCCACTCCGATATAAGAAGAATGAAGGGTGTTATTGTATCAGCTGTTGCAATTCTTGCTACCATTCAATTGGTGTTTCGGTTTTCAACTTGGGTTAACGGGGATCTCAATGAGAAAAACAACGTAGAGTACCTAGATGACATTGCCGCCATCTCCTTGGAGATGCTTTTCCTTGCCATGGTAATTGCTCCATCACCTTCGCATCATATGATTTCAATATATATATATATATCGAATTTCAAATATTATGTCACGAATGGCTTCCTGGTTCAAAACTCATATAATTCATGATTAAATAAATGTTTTTGCATAAACAGATCTGTCATATATTGAGATATTGTTGACCAGCATAACCGTTAACAACAGATAAAAACTTGCATCTTTTACAAGTCTACATTAAGCCACATACATGAGTTCAATTCACATTAATTACATGATTGGCGATCATAATTCGCTTATTCAACTGCTACTTTTTGTTATATTACAGTTTCAACTTTTTACGAGTTCGTCCTGTTTGGACCATTACAGACTGCCCTTAATTATGGTCATACTTTGGACTCCCTTCCCGTGCTATGCCTATAAAAATATCTTTTTACTGGCTGGACAAAGCAATATGTCTGGCCGAGGTGGTGTGATTAATGGAAATTGGACCGGATATATCCCACCGGAATGCCGTTCTCAGCCGTCAATCCTACGACTTAGTGCTGGGCTTACGTGGGAGGAGGCATGTGAGCCCTTACATCGAGATATTGACAACAAAACTTGTGGGGTGGGACCTGGTATGTCATTTGCCAATTACGTATTGGAAAAGGATTCCAATATTGGGGTAATTGGTCTGGTTCCTTGTGCTGTTGGCGGAACCTATATATCTGAGTGGAGCCGAGGCTCGGGTCTCTATGATAAACTCTTGAAGAGGTCTAAGGCGGCATTGGAAGACGGAGGTGAAATTCGGGCCCTTTTATGGTATCAAGGTGAGAGCGACACAAAGAAAGAAGAGGATGCCGAATTGTACAAGAAAAGAATAGAAGAGTTCTTCGTCGCAGTTCGTACTGATTTATCTTTACCGAACCTTCCAATTATTCAGGTAATACTACATCATATTGTTCACACAAGTTTCTTTTACAATTTGATTCGAGCTATTTTTTAATTGTCATGGTGCAGGTGGCGTTGGCATCTCGCACAGGGACGTATTTTGATATCGTAAGAAATGCTCAGTTGGCCATCAAACTTCCAAATGTCACAACAGTTGATGCGAAGGGACTGCAATTGTTGAATGATGACCCAATCCACCTTAGCACTCCAGGCCAAGTTAGTCTAGGAAAGATGATGGGCGATGCCTTCCTCCACTTTGATTGAAACTAGCTTAGTTATTTTCAATGTGAACTCATGAACTATCGATGTACAAATGTTAAAGCATAAATTACTGGGTCTACACAGTTATCTAAAATTTTCTTGTCCACGTGTTCAAGAATTAAGTTTTCCTTTTAATAAATAAAAGTAATAATTTGTTGATTTATCGTGGTTGATTTCTTCATCTATTGCAGAAATTTCGTCCCTGATTTTCCTTCACTGTTTTAGTGATGATGCCATTTGAAAAAGCTGAATGAAGAAACAGAAATATATATTTATATTTTTAAAGTTTTATCCTTTATACATAAAAAAAATAAAAAAATTACAGAACAAAACAAAGAAAAGCAAGATTTTTTTTATGACAATTTAATTGCTTATTAACTCAAATTAAATTAACCCACTTTTCTAAGCCATTAAAAATTATATTTATAATCAACATCAAAATATACTAAGGTTGGTGAAGAATTTATCGTATGTAATGAAATTGGCTAATTATGTGTGTTA